TGTACGCTGAACTACTGCTAACCTGCGATAACAGGGTTGTTGAACAGTGATGATATGAGCACAGCCCAGAGCTGAGCGATTGCAGTAACATCACGTGTATTGCAACACACACAAGAATTTAAGCACTTGCCAGTCTTAGGGAGTTTGTAACGTCCTTTTCTGTCCCAAATCACACAGAGCATCTATGCCCAAAACCTCCTGGATTCAGGACACGCTTCACAGGTTCCAACAAAGCTGAAGCGGATGGGCCATGTTACCCACCTCAGACTTTGTTTTCCAAGTGTTACCGTTTGTTGGCAAATGCCTGAGCCATGAACAGCAGAGGCACAGCTGGTTTCTGCAGAGTTACTAAAATATTTCCAAATGCCATGCCAGGAACTGCAGGAGTTGTTAACACAGGGATTAAAGCAGGTAGCTGTACCTAGCAGAGCTGCTTAGCTCAAGCACACAGCACGCAATCCCCACCTGGCTGTGCCTTGCACGCTACACAAGGCTAGAAAAACAATCCCAAGGCCACACTTTCTTCTATTTTCTCAAAAAACACTATGAGCCTATTTACACAAAGTTCATCCAGGAGTTACCCAGAAGGAACTTGGGATGACGAGGACTGCATAAATGCGACTCGGACACTACAGAAAAGGACCAAAAGGGCTCAAACCTGTCCCCTCACACCACGGCTCTCCTTCGCTCTCCTCTGCCCCAGAGCGCTGGGGTCAGCAGTGGGAGGGAGAGCCAGGAGTAAGCTGCCCCCTTCAGAAGAGGCAGCCAGCCCATGTTTTCAATTGTGAGAATCTTTTTACACCTTATCAACATTTTTCCACCCTCAAGAGAAAAAAAGTTTAAAAAAAAAAGAGAAGTGGGCAAAACCACCACACTTACCTGCTCCGAGAGCCCCCGGTCCCCGTGCACAGCGCTGGCGCATCCAGTGTTGTGTCTCTCCAGTCAAATCAAGCCCATTTCCCCTTGGGGTGAGGGCAGCGTCCCACACGAGAGTGAGGACAGTCTTGGCCTCCACAGTCAACCTCCTCCGTGGCTGCTCAACGGCTGCACGTACCACCCAGACAACAAGGGCTGGACCCTGTCCTGCTACCTGGTGCCCCACACCCATACCCTTCCTCCTCAGCAGGCTCCAGGCTCACAGTCGCATCTCCATCCTCATTTCAGCTCACAGGACCCCCTGAGCAGACCATTCCCTCACAAAGCCAAGTTGTGCCACCACTCAGCTCAGTGACTGTTCTTTCACCTCCAAGAGCCAGCAGCTGCCCACCTTCTCACAACCCTGCCACAAAGAGTCACTGCAGAGAGCCCAGGGCAGTCCCCGTCTACTGCTTTTTAGGCTTCCTAGCACACACAGCTGCTCCACTGGAGATACACCACAGTCCCACCCAGAGCAAAGGGAAAAAGATCCCAAACTTAATAAAGAAAAAACAAAGAAAACAAAACAAAAACCACCATAAACACCACAACCATGGTTTCTAGGCAGCTGCACAGAAACTTAATGTTAAAAGCCCTAACTAAAACCCAGAAAAATATCTAAAAAGAAAAACCAAACCCACCTCACCCTCCATTTGTAACCGGGGAAAAGAAAGCACAGCCCCCAGGACCACCCACACCCAGCTGATGAGACTCAGTCCATTAGGGCTGATTAAGTGGCTTCAGCTGGGGAGAACGTGAGTCCCACCAGGGAGGAGGCTCTGCTGCTGCCCCCGTGAGGGACAGGCACGCCC